TGGAAATTTGGGCGTGATTTCACGACATGTTGGAGAGGAACTCTCAGAAAACTTCAGTCGCTGACGGGGGGCGGGGGTGCACCGTCCCCCTATCAGGGCGAGGGTTAAAACATCCATCAGGGTCAAAGGATTTTAAGCAGGCGCGGCTTCGTTCAACGCTAGTCACGGGTCTTCAACATTTTTTTCATACTAAATAGCGAGTCTGTAGCGCTCTTTAATGCCAGATCAGGACGGGCAGCGCACTAAACCACATAGCATGCATTGCTGCAATTTCATATTTGATATGTATCTAGATACCATGCGCTGCAACGGTGCACCTCCCTGAGCTTTGCAGTGGAAGCACAGGTGGAAAGTGTCAGCGAATACCAAAGCCACATCAGTGCCGTTTTCCTGCGAACCACGCAATGACAAAGACGCAGCGTATGACAAAATTCGCGTGGCATCGATGAATACGCACCGCTAAGATAGCGAGGCCCCGAAAAATAAATGGTCACTGATGGCAGTTTCACGGTGTTATAAAAGCGCCAGCTACGAATGTGTCGAATTGCATCGCAATCAATCCGCACTAAAGCACATGAAGCCGCAAATCCCGTCATTACATCATAACCGTTGCAAACGGCGGTAATCCGGTTTTATGAACCCCCATCCTGATCCAAACCCCATCTCGGTCCCGTAGCCTGCACACGAGAGAGGAGTGCCCCGCCGGCTCTTGAACCGGCAGGGCCGGTGGCCATCCGATCTCCTGAGACAAGCTCCCCTGTCTTCCGGGAGCTCCCCCCTCCATCCCCCCCCTGGGGATAGGACCGCCTCATCAGCGGCAGCCGTTCCCCCTCTACTGAATTCCTCCACTGTGCGAACATAAATGGATGCGAATTATGCGGGTGGAGATGGGAAGGGGAGAGGAGAGAGGGGGAGAGGGCAGAGGGAGAGCAAGTGGCGCGTGGGGGATGAAATCCCCGTGTCTTGAGTGTCGATGATATTAACGTACGCTAAGCACCAACTGAGATGCCGCGATGCGTCCTCAAGGTCACTGTATGCGCGGTGACACGGATGGTAAAGAATGTATGCGGTCGACGTCATGCATGACGTCATACTCCGAAGATTCTGCGCCTTTCGGAGTTCGTAGCGACCCGGACGACAAATATTTTTGGTGACGTCATACGTCCGGCAAATAAAACATTTGCCGGACACACAAAACCTTTACCCGTTACTTGATCGAAGTGAGACAGAAGTAGCGCAGTAGATATGTTTATAAACAAGCCAGTCCTCACGCCCGCGACTAATCAGCGGTGGAATGAGGTGTGGGATACGTTATAGGGCGGCGCACATGCTACGAGCGAACGAAAGTGCTTGCGTCTCGCGTGCAGACTTATTGTCACGGAAGTTGCAAAAATGCAGCAGAAGGCGTGTCACGCTGCAGACATTTACGTAATTACCAAAACACTAAAATTATTATACTTGATTATATACATATATATATATATATATATATATATATATATATATATATATATACATATGTAAATCAAAATCATACATACTTGAATACTAAACGTCCTTTTGGAGTCAGGGGGAACAGAATATTCTGCGTGCGCTGCGAACACACTCGGTGTTCCTTCGCCCACGACTATGCGCCGAGCTCACCATCAGCTGATCACATGCCCGATCGAACGATGACGTCACCACTACAGCGTGGGCCGCTGCGGAGACTTCGATGCAGAGCCGGTGCATCGTGGTAACACCAAACCGCGGTCCCGCTGCCAGAGCGCTGCGCGGGATAGCGACTCAGGACTTTGGAGGCAGGGACTCAGGACTCTGGAGGTAGGACTCAGGACTCTGGAGGCAGGGAATTAGAACTCTTGATGCAGGGACTTATGACCCTGGAGGCAGGGAATCAGAAGGCAGGATGCAGGGACTCAGAATTCTGGATGCAGGGAATCAGGACTCTGGAGGACCCTCCGGACGAATAAGGCAGTTTTGTTTTTTTTTCAGTGGGCAACAAACCGTCTCGGAGACGAGATGATGGTGTTGATAATGGTGATGATGGCAATGACGGTAGCGGCAGAAGTTTGGGTTTAAGGGCGCTTTTTGTGGTTAACTAGCAGCCATGCATCTCAGCTGACATGAAAGATGTCAGAAGTAGTAATTGGATTTTGATGGCGCGTCAACTGCAGAGGTTATTCGTGGCGATGAAATATGTCGGCATGCTAAAATCCAAGCCGACATTGGTATACTCAGCAATGTGCCGATCTTCTGTTCCTATGAAAACTGATCTCAACTGAGAACGATTTTACATCGCTTTACCACCACCTGCGCCATGAGGCTTACGTGCTCCTTTGTTTCTAATTGATAGTAACGGAGAGCTCCGGACCTGTTCCTATTGTTCTCTGGAATTCTTCATCTATTTCCTTTGGATGGGACTAAGGGGCATGTTGGCTTGGCAGGGGCGATGGAACTACTCAGACGGCGCCAGAGGTCGTTTAACCACAGGCTGCCCTCTTGGTGTAATGGCGGCGCCCCAGCCCTTGAAAAAAACACCTGTTTCTAGAAATGACGCAGTGAATCGAGTACCAGGTACCAACACCAGTACCATAATCGAGTACCAGTACCATAATCCGACTCGGACCAGCTGTTCACAGCGTGTTCCAATTCCTCCCGTGCTCCAGTGACGAGGATGCTAAGCCGCGTAATTACGCCATCTGTTCCAACACCTGTTCTCAAACGCCCCGTGGTTATAAGCGACCAGTCCACGGTAACATGCGCTGTGGCATGACGTCGTCTGGATCCTGTGCACGGCGGTAGTGACAGGACTGGCCCCTCCCCTCCCCCCCCCCCCCATCAGGTGTTACGACGCCCTGGCCTCGGCGCGCGCGGAGCCGACGGGTTCCCCCGCCAGCTGATTGCCCCCCCCCCCCCCACCGCCTGCCCCACACTCCCCCTCCCCTCCCCGATGCGATCCGCGCGGGGGGAGGGCGCTCTACCTGCCGCGACCGAATAAAAAGGCGAATAGATGGCCGAGCCAGGACCAAGTACGCGCGCCCCCCGGGACGCCGCGCAGGTAGCGGCGCTGACCGGCCTCCGTTGGGCCAGCCGGGGGCGGGGGGGGGGGGGGGAGGGAGGGCAATCAGTCGACGAGGCCTCTGGCGCCGGCGACCAGGGCAAAGGCGGCGGAGTTTGACGGGGGCGTTGGGTCGCATTAAAATCCGCGGCCGGAGCTGAGAAAGGCGGTGTGGCGGGTGTGCCGCGCCGCCTCTTTTGAGAAGTAAGCCGATATTGAAATTGCTCCACTGAAAGTCGTCCATTCCAAGAACTGGATCATGTCAACTCCTCTGGTCATTCTGCACTCGTGTCTGCTGCCTGTTGTCTGGGCGTCCCACGTTGGCATGGCTCGGTTGTAGGCACGTCTGGTATATGCGTTCTTAACGCGCTTAGCTTCCTCCTTAAAAAAGTTAGCTAGCACATGCGCCTGAGCATGTGTCCTCACTCAAGTAAGCGGTCTGTGTTGTTTTGGTAAGAAAGGTCCATGTCGAATGCACAACGGCACTGCTATTTTTGTAGTTGTGAAAAAATCATCCAATGACGTCAAACATGGCTGTCAAAATGATGACTGCAATAATTAAGAGCCACGTAATCACGTTTGGTCATTTTTATCTGCTAAACCACTAAACGCTATACCCCAGCACGGTAGCGGTATTTCCTCCCCCCCCCCCCCCCCCCCCCCCCCCCCAGCAATGCTATGCATTATCGCGCGCCAGCATCCGCATGGCACAGGTGCATTCTATGCACGAACTCCGCACTGTTCACTCCCCCGCCGGGGTGGAACGCCGTCCCCCCCCCCCCCCAGCGGGGCCGTGGGTGTGGCGGGGCGGGGACGGGTCCTCCGTCGTCAATGCTGTCACGCTAGCTCTGCCAAAAGCATCCGGGTTGAGCGCAGCCTTCGTTGTGGGCTACGAACATACACTGGAGCGCCCCGGAGGTCGGTACTTGCACGTCAGCGCAGTGTCTCGGTGGTGTTCAGCGGAAGCCGCCCGGCGTAGCTGTGTTCCAGAACAGGTATGGCGGTAGATGTGAATGAACTGAGCTGTTGAGATGGGTGGAGTGAGATGAACTTGTTGAGATGTCAGTTGTGTCGGATGTGTTGAGATCCAGCGTGGTGTCGGCATGTCATGTCATGGTAGCGCACAAGAGATGCCATATTGTCACTGACACGATGATACCTGATTAATTGACCAGCCACCATGCAACAGTGGATGATGTGCCCACGTATTCCTCATCGCCGACCAGGGCTGACAAGGTGATCCCAACATTACCTGATCCAGATATTCCAGGAGCATGGCCATGTGGAAGTTACAATACGTTTCTTCCGAAACATGCATGATTGGTGCACGCCTCAATGCAACACGTTTATACGTTTTTGAAGAAAGCTTTCAAGTGCAACAGCAAAACCTCTGTCACGTGAATGTAATCTCCGAGGGAAAAACTACGCCACATAGCTTGACGTGACTAAATGAGAAAATACGGAGGCATGGCTTCGGGCGGTTCGGTGTGCTAGCGCTACTGTACAGCATTTCTACCCTTTAGCATGGCGTTATGGTGAGGTAAATCAAAGACCCAACGCTCAGACGAGCAGCAGCATCTACCCGATGCTCTACATCGGTCAAAAAACACACAAAAAACAACAAAAAGTACAAAAAACTACAATAAACTACCGGGTCAAAAAACGGCCTTTTGAGATCAGCAAATTACTATCGTCTTAGAAACCTACAGCTGGAGTCGGTCTTGGTAGATCCAGCACCTTTACCCACTACCAATACCTTCCCCCTTACCCACCTTACCCAGCTCACACTGACAAGACTGAAAAGGAGCCGCCACCGGCGGCGCGTTCTTTCATCTGCTCAGCCGGCAGATGAACCGATGCCGCCGGCGGATGAGCCGATGCCGCCGGCAGATCCCGTTACTGGCCAAGCCTGGAACAAATCGCAGCCAGCGGTGAGACTGATTCAGACGATGCGGGGTGCGTGCTTGCTGTTGCTGCTGAGCTTCTGCAGACAGGGACGGGGTCAGCGTCCCGCCGAGAAGGCCCGGAGACAAGCCAGCGATGCGATGCCGTCACGACAGCGATGCGATGCAGTGATGACAGCGATGCGATGCCGTAATGACAGCGATGCGATGTCGTCACGACAGCGATGCGATGCAGTGATGACAGCGATGCGATGCCGTAATGACAGCGATGCGATGCAGCTATGACAGCGATGTAGTGATGACAGCGATGCGATGCCGTCATGCAGCGATGCGATGCCGTCATGCAGCGATGCGGTACCGTCATGACAGCGATGCGATGCACTGATGACATCGCAGTGGCAGGCAGTTGGAATGCGACATTGTCTGTGTTGTTTGCTCCTGCGTCTTTGTTCCAGAGTCCATGACGTACCTGACGCTCGCCAGTTGTGAGTATACGCTGTATACGCTGTGAGTATACGCTGGACGCTGAGGGATTCCGAATATGTATTATCCATCAAAATGCGTCGACCTCTTTGTTTTAAGATTGAACGTTTGCTGAGCTTAGGCGCCCGCCCACTTTGCCCGGCTGAGCTGCAGAGTTCCTAACTCTGCATTTTCGTTCAAAGAAAGGTCATGGGTCAGGTCGCTGCGTTCTGCGTCAGCCGGCGTGTCCGTGACTTGAGGTCGGGTGCGAGGGACCCGCCGCCATCAAACCATGAACACCGACACCGTCTCGGTGTTTATGGACGCAAGCAATACATATAACATTGTGTGGTTCGTCCCCCCCCCCCCCCATCCGATAGTACCTGACGCTATCGCAGTACCACGCCGCAGAGAATCACTCCTAGTGAAGTTAAACAAAAAGACATAAAGCCATGAATATATCCGGCTAACAAAGAGCCACGAGTGCCCATCGAGGTTGGCCTAAGTTATTGAAAAACTGATATTCTTTCAGCATTTAGCCCAACATCCCATCTTATATCCATTCACTCAGCTCAGCTCAGCATTCCATTCTCTGTTTATTCCGCATTCAGCTCAGCATTCTATTCTCTATTCATTCATTCAGCTCAGCATTTTATTTCCTATGCATTCGGCATTCAGCTCAGCATCCCACTTCCTCCTCATTCAGCTCAGCTCAGCATCCCATTCTCTATTCATTCAGCTCTGCATTCCATCCTCTCACGTTCCTCGAATGGCGACGCGTGAGGCGCATCCAACGTTGATGCTGAAGCACATGCTCGAGCACATGCTGAAGCACATGCTGAAGCGGACGTTCTGCCTGAAATGACACGGTAAGAAGAAGATAGCTTTCATGCCTGCATCTGAGCGAAGAATGCTCATCTCAGCATCTCAGTTAGTTGTGCTGGTTCGGACTAATTTCCAACAATTTTATCTAGCCCTTTACCAGCTGCGTAGCTTGGAGGAATTTGGTACCCCTTGAAGCAGTGTCATCGCGCATGACGAGTTGACGTTTGTTCAAGACATGCCATTTGACGCCCTGGTTCGGATCATCATGACCAAACCCCACCGCCATCGCTCCAGCTCCTTACAGTTAGAGCTCCAAGCGTGCGTGGCAAGAAAGTTGGGGGTCCGAGACATTTGACAGATTCCTTTATCTAGGATGAAAACAAGCCTAGTGCTGCTGACGAACCAGGGTATTTTGCGAATCCAACTATCTAGGATAAGAACAAACCTAAGCTAATTTACTTAGCCGAGACAAAGCACGTTTCATTGCAATGTAATTTTTCGAGAATTGTGTTTGAAAACTTTCGTCTGGGATTTTAACCAGGCATGACACGCGTTAACTATAATCATCAAAGTCCCTGGACAACCTTTGCGTATGAGTTCAGGAATGTTTGTTTAGAACAGCATGTGCAGTTGCTAGTGATGGAATTGCCGCTGTGACCCCAAGTGGCCGAAGATCATTTATTGAAGTTTAACTAATATGAGTGTACAGATATTGGGGCACTGATGGAACGGGCATGGGCCCCGTGAACGTTACCGTGATACTGGCCACGAGTCGTGATACTAGCCGCGAGCCATGATGCGGGCCACGATCCATGATGCTGACCACGATCCGTGATGCGGGCCACGATCCGTGATGCGGGCCACGATCCGTGATGCGGGCCACGATCCATGATGGGGGCCACGATCCGTGGTGCGGACCACGATCCGTGATGGGGGCCACGATCCGTGATGCGGGCCACGATCCATGATGCGGGCCACGATCCGTGGTGCGGACCACGATCCGTGATGCGGGCCACGAGCCGTGATGCGGGCCACGATCCGTGATGGGGGCCACGATCCGTGATGCGGGCCACGATCCATGATACTGGCCACGATCCGTGATGCGGGCCACGATCCGTGATGTGGACCACGATCCATGATACTGGCCACAGTCCGTGATGCGGGCCACAATCCGTGATACTGGTCACGATCCGTGATACTGGCCACAATCCGTGATGCGGGCCACGAGTCATGATACTAGCCGCGAGCCGTGATGCGGGCCACGAGCCGTGATGCCCACAACCTTCGTCTTGCCGAAGTAAACAGCTGTGGCTGTGGTGGTATGAAGGCTCAGTAGATGCTGAAAGTTTGGGGACTTTAATATTTTCCATGCTATTGCAACCGCGGCTCGAGGCTCGCAGCCTGTGGCTCCTCTTCTTGCTCGAGATCGGCCAACCAGCATCGAACCGGGTGGCAGTCAGCCCGGCAACTAAGCGCCTCAGGCTTGAGAAGTGGGCGTGTTCCTGGGTTCGGGGTCAAAGGGCAACGGATTGGCGTCAAAGAATAGCGCGCGGGACCGCCGGGGAGCCAGCACTTAAGTAGCATGAATCAATATTTTTTCTCCTGGACACACTTCTGGATGGATTTTGGAGTGCCAGGTTCAAAATGTTGACCCGATGCATCGATTTATGCACACGGCTTCATGTTCCGGCGAGGTCACACGTGCAGTTGCATATCTAGTGTGGCTTCGCCTTTGCTTCCCGCAGAGTCGCGCAGAGAGCTACACCACTTTATTTGTACTTGGAGAAGGCGAAAGTATCGCCGCCATAGCGCTTACACATTCGCTACATTTTCTTAGCACTTAAGCTTTTCTTCACACGTCCTTCGAAAGACGTCATACTCATGGCAGATGCGGGAGGCAATTGTGGGCACACACCTTCGCGAAACCCCATTTGAATGGAAGTTCGGGTGCATGAAAAGCAAAGCCACGGGGCTACACATGTGCTGTCCCACGTGAGCTATATCTCCATGCGGGACACACGAGAAAATAATCGAATATCGTTGCGGAGCGATTACACAGCGGCAATTAACATGTACAGTTGTAAACAGAGTGCACCGCGTGTCGACCTTACAGATTTGTACTTGCTACGATCGTCACATCCTCTCCCACATACCGAAAAAGAGCGGAAGTCGCCACCAACAAGTTCACAAACCTCCCGCTTGGTCGGGAGGGCGCCACGGCCCAAAATCCCCGCTCGACGGCCGGTTGGCGGAGGCACACAGCAAATTTAGCAATACCGCGTGTGACCATTTCTGCCATTGGCGAACGGAACATGTCACGTGCTCGTGACGGTCCGCGCACTGGCGTCGACTAAGCCTGCTGCCGGACGCTGAACCCAAATTTAGGCACACCGCGAGACTACGCTCGTGTTTCGAGTCATTTCGAAGCGCTTCACGCAACGTCGAGATCATGCGCTCGGCTTTCGAGTCATTTGCGAGTAACTGCTTCCCGAGTCGTTTCAAGGCAATGGTTGTCTCTCAGGTTCTCAGGTGAGATGCTGAGATCGTCACAGGTGACTGGGAGATGAGAACCCAAAACGCCGGTCTCTTTTGAGCCTCCACAACCCGAACAGTCCGAGGTCTCCGTGCCTGAGATCATACGCTAGGGCGATTGACAGCCGTTCGCGATCAACGAGAACACCACAGCTGGTCGTCCACTAGCGCCGCCAATGTACAAGCACGTCCCTACAGGTTCAACACTCCGCCACTAGATGTCCCGCCATCCACTTATCCGCCAAGAGCCGGCACCGCGCGGGCGACCTGCCCCCGACTCACACACCTCGAGTCCCAGACGCCGGTCTTGCAGCCATTTCAAGTCACTCAACCCAGCCTTCGGACCACTCCAAGCTCCCACCGTTAGCTCGAGGTTCACCTCCAGTCGGGGCGCCTCCCCTCCTCGCCCCTCGCCCGGGGCCGCCGCGGCCGCAAGCCGCTACGGTTCGGCGGGCGGGCCGCCAGGGCCCCGGGCGCCGTCATGACGCTGACCGCCAGCAGCAGCGGGTACGTGGCCGCCTCGTCCAGCGTGAGCACGCGCACCTCCTGGCCGCGCGCCAGCTGGACGGCCGTCAAGCCGCTGCTCTGCGTGTGACGGGGGGAGCGCTGCTCGTCCAGGCAGACGGGCCGTCACCCTGCCGGTCAAGGCGGGGCGCCGAATAAGACATACCGGTCCGTTGTGACTGTTTGAAGCATCTTCAATGACTTCTAAGCACCTTGTAGTCGATCACGAGTCATGGCTACGCGTGGCATAATACAACCGTCGTCACGCAGGCGACCCAGGCCTCATTTCACAGAGCATCCCGCCTTGCTGCAACCAAGGTTCGGTGAATGGCAGAGCGGGACCTCCTCTTACTGACTAGATCATCTTCCCGCTGACCGGTAGATCACCTCCCCACTGACCGGTAGATCATCTCTCCACTGACCGGTAGATCATCTCCCCATTGACCAGTAATAATCTCCCCAATGATCAGTAGACCATCTCTCCACTGACCGGTAGATCGCCTCCCCACTGACCGGTTGATCACCTCCCCACTGACCATTAGATCACCTCCCCACTGACTGTGGAATCACCTCCCCACTGAACGGTAGATCGCCTCCCCACTGACTGATAGAATCACCTCTCCACTGACCGGCAGACCACCTCCCCATTGACCGGTAGATCACCTCCCCACTGACCGGTAGATCGCCTCCCCACTGACCGGCAGACCACCTCCCCACCGACCGGTAGACCACCTCCCCACTGACTGTAGATCGCCTCCCCACTGACCGGTAGGTCACCTCCCCACTGACCGGTAGATCGCCTCCCCACTGGCCAGTAGATCACCTCCCCACTGACCATTAGCTCACCTCTCCGCTGACCGGTAGATCGCCTCCCCACTGACTGGAAATCAACCCTCCCCCACTGAACGGTAGATCGCCTCCCCACTTACCGGTAGATCACCTCCCCACTGACCATTAGATCACCTCCCCACTGACTGGTAGATCACCTCCCCACTGACTGGCAGATCGCCTCCCCACTGACCGATAGATCACCTCCCCACTGACCATTAGCTCACCCCTCCGCTGACCGGTAGATCGCCTCCCCACTGACCGGTAGATCACCTCCCCACTGGCCGGTAGATCACCTCCCCACTGACCGGTAGATCGCCCCCCCCCCCCACTGACCGGTAGAATCGCCTCCCCACTGACCATTAGCTCACCTCCCCACTGACCGGTAGATCACCTCCCCACTGACCATTAGCCCACCTCTCCGCTGACCGGTAGATCGCCTCCCCATTGACCGGTAGATCGCCTCCCCACTGACCGACAGATCGCCTCCCCACTGACCGGTAGATGACGTCTCGGCTGTTAGCCTGGCTGATGAGCAGGGGCAGCTCCTGGCGGACGTTCCTCCGCAGCGAGATCTGACGACGACTGTGAACCATCACCTGAAACACGGGCGTCAGCGAGGCGTCAGTGCCGGTCAAGTCATCACCAGGTCACCAGATGCCCACCCATCGTCTGGTCATCAGATCTCCAACCCTCAGCAGGTCACCAAATGCCCATCCATCCCCGGGTCATTATGTCTCTACCCTCGGCAGGTCATTAGATGTACATCCATTACCAGGTCATCAGATCTGCATCTATCCCAAGGTCGGCAGATCTTCCACTATCCCCAGGTCAGCAGATGTGCATACATCACCAGGTCATCAGATCTTCAGACATCGCCAGGTCATTAGATTTGAACCCATCACCAAGTCATCACATCACCATCCCTCGACAGATCATCCCACCCCACCCCTCACCAGGTCAACGCCGAAGTTGAAGCCCGTCCACCGCCAGGTGACCTTCTGCCGGTCCTTCAGCGTGCGGCCGCAGCGCAATGCGCATGCGTCAAACTGCGCCTCGGTGACGTCACGGCTCCAGCCAGGCTCGACCAATCCCTGGTCGAGTCGCAGCAGCGTCAGCCACTGGTGGCGATAGAGGCTGCGGACAGGTGGAAAGACCCATCAGCTGCCCACAAATCTGGCGACTGTCGCAAGAGCCAATCAAAGGCCGGCATACACTTCAAGGAGGGCAAAATACCCAATTGCAAATTGGCAGATACTGACAATGGTGCCATCCTCTCACCACATCAGGCTGGACATGGACGAAACAGAAGACGTTCCGACACGTGACACATGGCGCGTCGCAATATTTGAACACCATCTGCCGCGAGTCACTTGAAGGCTTGCATCGACGCCCCAGCCCGCCCGCCGCCCACGCGAGTCCCACCCAACGTTGTCCGAGGTACTTCACACCGGGGCTGCGCCAGTGGCAATCAAATCTGCCGCGCCAGTGGCAATCAAATCTGGCAAGCATATCTCCACTCGTTCATGCACCTGCGCTCCCCAAAGGCTTGGCGCCACGAAATTCCAGACTAAATGACAATAGGGCTCGGAAACGTAAAGAAAAACAAGGATGTTATAAAACAGAGTAAAGACGGTCTGTACGGCAGTCAGAGGCAGTATTGATAAAGCAATGAGAAGAAAAATAACCACTAACAGTATGCACCCAAATCAAGCTACCGGACTAAGCCACGCGAAAATAATATATTTATAATAAATATACAAACAACATAACCCACAGAATAGGCTGGCCACAGCCAGAGCCTGCAAAACCTCAGCCAGAAATGTGCTGATAGTCCACATCTCCAACAGTCCACATCTCCTGCAGCCCACACACAGTCCGCATCTCCAGCAGTCTACATCTCCAGTCCACATCTCCAACAGTCCACATCTCCCGCAGCCCACACAGTCCACATCTCCAGCAGTCTACATCTCCAGTCCACATCTCCAACAATCCACATCTCCAACAGTCCACATCTCCAACAGTCCACATCTTTAACAGTCCACATCTCCAACAGTCCACATATCCAACAGTCCGCATCTCCAACAGTCCACATCTCCAACAGTCCACATCTCCCGCGGCCCACACACAGTCCACATCTCCACAGTCTACATCTCCAACAGTCCAATCTCCAACAGTCCACATCTCAGTAGTCCGCATCCAACAGTCCACATCTCCAGCAGTCCACATCTCCAGTAGTCCCATCTCTCCAACAGTCCACATCTCCAGCAGTCCACATCTCCAACAGTCCACATCTCAACAGTCCACATCTCCAACAGTCCACATCTCCAACAGTCCACATCTCCAACAGTCCACATCTCCACAGTCCACATCTCCAACTCCACATCTCCAACAGTCCACATCTCCAACAGTCCACATCTCCAACAGTCCGCATCTCCAGCCTCGCCGCGCTGGTTCGCACCGCTCACCCGGCCAGCCAGCCCGGGCGGATGATGTTGTCGGCGTGGAGGACCTCGAAGTCGAGCGGGTGCAGCACCAGGTGCTGGTGCCGCAGCGCCCGGAACGGCGCCGCCAGCGCGCCGGCCTCCTCCGAGTCGAGCAGGGGCTCCTCCGCTGTCGCACGCGCGCGGCCCGGTCAGGCTGCGTTGTGCTACATCGCGTTCCGGTGCGTGCGATGTGGCTATAAGTGAGTAGGTGTCGTTCCTCACGCATTACGGTGGTGTATAGCGCGCCTTGCAGGCATTGCATTGCATGCAATGAATATGAAAATGTGAGGAATGATAGACATAACGGGAGACCAAGAGATCGGGAGGACTTCCTTGCTTACATCAAATACCAAATGACACGTGCACCATGAGCATATCGTTGATGATGATGATGATTTGGGGTTTTAGGGCGCATCAACTGCTATAGGTCATGCATCGCCCATATGGGCATATCGTTGACACTTCGTGAACGCAGCGCATTGTGCAAGCTGAAACATCACAGACCCACACATTTTCCTTTACCAGCTCAAGCCTTCACATAACCCAACCTTTCAACTAACACGCTTTAAAAGCGGCCCGATACCAAGCGGCCGTTTGCAACAGCGTGAGCGTCCCAAGAAAGACAGTT